TAGCCTATTTCTCTTTGATTCTCCCACCCCTGTCCTTCCCTTCCACTTACCCAATGCATCCTAATCTTCCATTTCATCATACAAGCCACTGGAACAGGGAACTAAGACAGCTGTGAGTCAGGTGGGATACTTTGTCTTCTTCTGTAAAGAATGGGGTTGACATGGCTACAGCCACCTCCTCTTCCCCATCAAAGTCACTTATTTTGAATGTTTGAATATGTTATTTTCAAAAAAAAAAAAAAAAGACTGTAGCAGTTTGTGTGCATGGCATTCTTCCAAGGTGCTTCAAGTTCTCTATAAAAAGCTCAGCTGTCATTTGTTGTTATCAGGCCCACTAGCCAAATTGTTGAAGTGCCCAAGTTTTATTAGCTCTGTTTTGCAATAGTCCATCTTACTATGGAGACAAATGGGGGAAACTCTGCCTTCATGCTGGCTTTGTTTTATAGTTCTTAGATGTGTAACATGACTGAATGATTTTGAGCTGTCTCCAGCTTGTAGTGATGGGTGTCGGTTTCTTGAACACTACTCAGAAATCTGTGACTCTGAGTGGTAATGTTCTGAAGGCAAGCTGACTTCACCACTAATCAGTGTGTGACCTTGGGTAGGTCCTTTAATGTTTTTGATCCCAAATTTACTCATCCGTAAAAGGATGAGCTCTAAGTTCGTTTCAGCTCTTTCATTTTATTATTCTAATAAATGCATCACAAAAAAGGTCATGAAAACATCCCAATTATAGCAATCAAGAAAAAAAACCTGTGATTCTGTTTTATATAGTGTTAAAGATTCCTTTTTGACTTTTGAGGCTCTTGATGACTCAATATGTGTACCCCTGAAACTCTACTAGATCCCTGTAAGCTATTTTTAAAAATTGATTTGGGGCCAGTATTGAAATTGTGGGTCTTATTATCTGAGTCTCAGATTCTGAGTTATAAGAAGGTCTATTCAAAAATGGTATGTTTTTCTTGCAGCAATTGTTATGTGGTCAAATTTTATGATGTTTTAACATTCACTGCCATTCATTGTCTAAACACTCTTCTATAACCCAGTGAGCGTGTAAGGTTAATAAGTAGAATGGAATTCATTCTGGGTTGATTTCAACTGCTGATTCTAGTGGAAGGCCTCTCATATCTGTCCTTCTTTCTCAACATGGCTAAGCCAAAGACACTTGGAAAAGCTCAGACTCTGCTCATGACTTTAAATCTCTGTAACTTTCAGGAAGGAAGAAATGTTACTTTCTCTTCATCTCCAAGTGGATGTGTGAAGACACTTCACATGAAGAGAAATTTGTTCATCAGCAATATATTTTTTGACCAATTAAAATATTCACCATATTGCTTTCTTACTTTTCAAACACAGAATTTGCCTACCTGTGTAATGCTCATAAGTAACCATGTTTTAAGGTTATGTTACATTTACTTGTTTTATAATGTTTCAAGAATGAATAAAGGGGAAAGAGGGCTTCAGAGGACCCAATGGTATTTCACACTTCAAGCGCATCTCAGGCAACAGGCAGGCCTGTCCAGACTAGTGCTAAATGCTACCTTTAGCCCAGGTAAGATTATAGAATGCCACAAATGGTTTCTTAGAAGGCTATGTCCTTTTAATCTGGTCATTCCCCTATTGAACAAGGCTGTCTCTTTCCTACCTCCCCATTTCTGGCTTCTCTACCACCACTCCCTCCTAAGTACACATGAAAACTTGTACTTGGACTACATTTTCCAAAACATATACTTAGAGTTTCACTTACGGATTGCTTTGCTGCACTCCAAATGGCCCAGCATTTTGTCGATGAAAGAGCGTAAATCATCCCTTAACGTGAGATACAGTAGGATGTGATGTTTAGAGAAAGGAAAATATGCTTCCTTATAGAAGCACCAGGCACTACACCATCTGGCTTGGAGGGAAAAATTTCAGTCACTCATCCTGATGTTTTGTCTACATAGTACCAAACATCTGGAACCTGGGTGACAGACTAAATTTTTCATTTCACATCCAGATGTTTTTGCATTATGCCAAAACAATCTTAAAAACTCAGCTATGTCTTTAAGAATTCAAATAGTACAAGCATAAAAGTTGTACTAATTTCATTTAGGTTTTGAGATAGAAAAGATGAATTTAAAAAAGCCAACTTTTGGCTGTTTTTTTAATGCAATATGCTAGCTTAAGAAAAAAGCCACACATTTTGCAACTATACGATTAAAAGAATTATGAAGAAATATTCCCAGAAATACTGTCACTAAAAATACAATGATCTGGAATGTTGTTCCAAAGTTGAAACGCTCCGGTTTTGCAAATTCGGATAAGACTTCTACAGTTAAAAGATAAGAAATCATTCTCCAAAAGAGTTGCTCAACAGCTTAAGAAGTGTGTTTCCTTCTGAGCAACTCTCTGTGAAAACATTTATTCCTTGCACACAAAGGTGAAAGCAGGACCGATGGGTTCCTGCCTTTTCCAAGGTTCCAACAGGATTTGCAAGGAGACTTCGAATCATTTAAAGATGCTTTTTTAAGAAATGCTTTTCATGATTCAAAACGAAAAATCAGATTGTATCCACTGGAGCCACCTTGAACATCTGTCACAAGAACATAAGCAGAAAGGAATGTTTAAACATTCTGCAACAAAACTGTTTGAAATATATATATATAGGGTTGTTTGGAGAATTGCATGTCTTGTCCTCTTGTATTCAATGGAGTTGGATCTCATGCTTGTTAAAAAAACATGTTCAGAACAGATTTCTTATATTAGAAGACACAGCACTTAATCTAGCTCTCAACTGCCAAAAGGCTTTGTGGGCATTTCTATGCCATGAAAATTCCAATATATTTTTCATTATCTCCACAAGGCCTAGAGTGTGTGTGTAACACAGCAGTGTTACTGAACTGGCTTGGTGCAGGGTCTTTGCTGAGTCAGCACATGGTTTCTCATTTCCAGATTACTAAAACAACTTTCCTCTGGGGTAGAGCTTCACAGAAAGCAAGGGGAATAGAAATACAGAGGGGCCTTATTTTCACCCGTAATTATACCAAGTCCAGAGGCAAATGCAAAATCAGACTGAACTCTCCCAGGTTTATAGAATAAAAACTGCTTCTCTCTGACCATGAGCCTGTGAGAGTCGCAGTAAATTGGAACCTACGTCTCTTTTTCACCAACGAATTTGCCCCAGGCCTCTTACCCTTAGGGTGTGGACTCCCGGGCAAGGTTGGGTGCCTTTTTAAAGCTTGTGTACAGTCTTTTAAGTGAGGCAGGTCAATCTCTTTTTATGGACTTGCACCAACAAACATTTGAGAGTTGTGCAGTGAGTAAACTGCAAATTTCAGACACGGCTACACTTGCAGCGTCTGGAGTGAAGTGGGGTCGCTGCACTTGCCCACCCTCTCTGCCTGATTCAGTGGTTGGAGCCTTCAGAGATTTACCATTGTGTGCCCGCGGGCCACAACCTATATGCTCAATGGCAATGGCCAGTTTCCATACAAATCGAACAGGCTCGAAGTTCAGTTCTCTGTTCCCTGACACACTCAGCTATCACGTTGGTGGGAATCGCTGGGCTTCAAGCTGACTCTCAGAACGGGATCAAGAAGAATATTGTGAACATCAAGTCTCCCCCAAACGCCCCTCCCCCCTCCTGCCTTTGGCCTCTCGCAAGACTGGCCTGCTAATCAATGCAAATGTCGTAGGCGGCTAGGCCCGCAATTGGCATTCCAGAGAGCAAGGACCACCAGCCGAGCTTTAAATAAGTGCAGATGTGACAGGCAAGAGACCCAAGGATGGCCGCCTCTCCACCCCGCACCGGCCGATGCACACGGCTTCAGCCGTGTGCGCTGCGGGAAGTGTGTCCAGAGGAAAGGGGTGCCCCGCAAACAACCGCAAAGGGAATGGAGCCCCCGAGTTTAAGGGCATCGCTGGGATGGTGTGTGCCCGTAGCCCGTTATTTCCTTGGCTTCACTGCTTCTTCCCTAAAGTGGCTAGAGGATAACCCACCCTCGCAAGAGCCGCTCAAGGGCCCCAATGCCCGGCCTTGCTCGGGAAACCGCGATCCTGGGTGGCCGGGGAGGCCTCGCTCTTCCACCGCAGAGCGGGGGCGTGAAGCATGCACTCAGGGCCTGACCCGCTGGCGACACCCGGGAGCCGGGATCTTCACCCCTGCTTACCACGCCCCCTCCACCAATCCTGCGCAATACATAGTCCTGGTCCCGACCCCAGCGCGATGCAAGCGACGTGCTGGCCTGCTGGCCGCGGTGTGCGGTTCCGAGACTGCGGGCGGGGCAGACGCAAAAGTCAAGCTCAGAGCGGTCCCCAAGCTGGGGTCAGGATTGAGCGGCGCTTCCCTTGGGCGGGATGCGGCGTGGGAGCTCGGAGCGCGTGCGAGCGGGAGGCGCCGGGCAGCCGGGTTTCCGCAAACCGCTCGGGTCTAAAGGGTTTCGGGGGAAACGGAGTGAGGAGAAGGGAAAACAATTTTAAAAAACAAACAAACAAAAACGGGCGTCGCGCCTTCTTTGGTGTTTCGTCCCCCTGAGCCCGATTTCGTATTTATTCACAACCGTCCCCCCACTGTCTGGGTGGCTTCACTAGAGCCGTCCGGTCTCCGGGCTCCCAGCCCGCGCGGCCATCCTCGCCCTAGGGTCTTGCTCTCCGATCCAAGCCCTGCGGCTCCGAACAAATCCCCGTTCGCCTTTCCCTGCCCGTCTCTGTGGGTTCAATCCCGTGGCCGAGGAGGTGGCAGGGCCGGGGCTGCAGACCATTTGGTGGCAGCCCACCTCCGCTACCCGGCGAGGCGCCCAGGCCGGGCCCCCACCAACCCCCGCCCCACACCTAGCCCCGAGCCTTTCCGTCTCTCCCGGCCCTAAGCGCGACAGCCCTCGCGCCCCGCCGCTGAGGCTGCGGCTCCCCTCGGAAACCTGCAGGTCCGGAGGGGCGGGTTGCCGGGTGCAGGGCCTCCCCCGAGCGGCCTTGCTGCCTAGCCAGTCGCCCAGGCCCTCCCGTCGGCCTCCAGCGGATCCGAGATGTTTCGGCGCCTACTCTCCGCCCCGCGCCTTGGCGCCTGTGGATATCCCTCGGCCGCCGGGCGTGCTCGGCGGGACTCCACACAGAAACCGCCTGCCGAGCCCCGGGGCAGCGAGCGTTACCCGCGCCGCCCGCCGGCCCCGGCGTCCCGCCCTCCCGGCTGGGCGCAGCTCGTAGGGCTCCAGCGGGAAACCGCAATTACCCACGGACACCCCACCCTCCGCGTTCCGGCTGCGCAGCGCCGAGCGCCACGTGCGCCGAACGGACGCCGCCCCGGGCCTGGGTCCCCGCTGCCCCAGGCGCCGGAAAGAGCCTTCGTGCCTCCGCCCCGGGCGCGCGCAGCCGCCGCCTCTAGCCCGCCGCGCCCCTGCCGCCGCCCGCCGGCACCTGCACCCGCCTCTCCCGCTTGCCTTCCATCCGTGCGTAGAAATACCACCAACTTAAAAAAAATTTTTTTTGTTTTTTCAGAGATGTGCACGAAAAAGACGAGGGAGATTCGACCATCCGAGGGTCAAGACACAGAAATTCGAACTGGCCCAGAGCGACCTTACTTGGCGCAAAGAATTATTTACCGAACGAGCGAGGGTGTGCGGATACGGGAGCTACTCTTAAAAGACAGAGTGATGAACAGCTGCACCTGAATTTGAAAACGATCCAAACTTTGATTCCTTTCTGTGGACTTGTTCTAACTGAAAGGCCAATTGTAAGCAAAAAACAACTTGAATTTGCTGATGGAGGTCCTGTTAAAAAGGCCAACAGGAGTACGAGACACATGGCGATTAAATCGCTACGTGATGCGACTATTATATTTTTCCGAGACGTTCTAAAGAATTTTCCTATTACTTTTTTAAGGTGCGGGATTTAGCTAAACAACTACTATAGCTAACATTCTAAGATAACGCCGTTCCTTTCCTAATATAAAAATCCATAGGTTCCGATTGTGTAACATAAATAACAGAACAAAATCAGGCTAGACAACTAAGTCCCCTTATGTAAATACCTAATTCGATCATTCAAAGATAATTGGTTTGTATAGTAAATCTAAATCACAGGGCCAAGCTTAGCTGCCCTTTCCTGAAAAATATTTCAACTTTCCTGCAGCCTCAAAGAAGACATACTGCAATGTCAGTCTTTTGTTCTTTAGAGGGAATAAATTGTCCTTCTCAGCCACCTCAGTTGCTCAGGAATGAGATGTGCTAAGCATTCATATGAGATTTTGGATGATGGTGCAGGTGTGGGCTGACTTAAATTACTTGCTTTTGTGCTTTTCTAAAAGGTCAAAAAGGATCTGGTTTAGGGAAGGCAGAGAGAATAAGACTTTTCAACATCAGTTAAAATGCCCATGTGCCCAGCCTCAGATGGAGGAAATAATACAAACCTGATAACGCATTTAGCTGATGCATCCTGAAAAATAATGTACCTATCAGCATGCATGTCATCAATCAAAAATTATTTAATATTTGCATTCAATTAACCAAATGACTCCACCAGCTCAACACTTTTCACAAATCAGCAATTAGTAAAATTGGTAAAATCTTCCACACGCTGTCACTCATTTAATGGTAAATTATTGAACAGTATTTTAACTTGTAAGAATATTTAGTAGTTTGAGAATTTGTGATATGGTTGTGGAGTGCAAGAATTCACACATTTTCTAAACTATAGAAAATACTAACAATTACTTGAGGTTTTTTTTTTTAAATAATTTTGGAACAAAGACTAAATGGAGGAAACTAATCGGAACTGTTCCATTATCTAAAGACATAAATGAGTTGAGTATATGGTATCTTGAACAATTTTCTATATAAAATAGGTTAAAAAACTCTCCGCTTAATTAAACATAAAATAGGCTATATTAAGAGATATTATTTTTGTCTTATGTAACTAGAATTCCTTGCATACCAACATAAGAAACTAACAGCTATGTTGGCTATATTCCCTAAGTATCAGTAATTTAAATTCCCTGAATATAATTAACCTCATTAAGTTGACTCATAGGACATAAGAGCTACTGGGGAAACTCTTTATATACAATTATGCAGATCAGTGGTAGTTTTTAAGTCACTAATAACTAGGCGCATAAATTTTCTGGGTTGAAGGAACGACTATAAATCTATCTTATATAATTTTATAGCCATCTTTTAATATGAGATAAATTATAGCATATAAACATCCTTGGGATCTATTTTATTTTAAGGAAATAATTTTCTTTGCTGTCAGAGATGCCCATGAGGGCAAATTTTGATTATATATTTTGAGAGCTGTCAAATTTGATGATTCAACACATAACTTCAAACCATTTCTCAGAAGGGTTCTCAGACTATTAATAGTATTTTGCTTCAGAGAAATGCATTTAAAAATACAAAATTAATGGCATTAATATTGAATTTTTGTATCTGTACAAAGATATGGAAATATGTGCAAGTAAAAACTAAAGACTAAGGTCGAGAAAAAGGACATTAAAAATCACACTTGGCAGAAAAATAATCTATTTTACCAAGAATTCTTGCAGTATTTTCTCTCTCATGGTTGGCCCTCTACAGTGTCAAAACTGCTTAGAGATCTGCTCAGCAACCTCACACAATTGCCGCTGTGCACATGTGTTTTACGTGTGTGCATTTCAATCTCCTCTCTCTTTTGCAGGGCAAAGAAATAAGGGAAGAATGAAAATCTTGAGCTACTCTGACATCCAATAAGGACTTATAGTTTATTAATCGGAGAATTTAGCTTAGCTCCTCCACTATTCATCTGAAATTAATTAAGTGTGTAGAATTACAAGGTGGGTGTATCTGAGACAGCAGGCCCTGCTCGGACTAATCAAAAGGGCACATGTTGAATGAGCACAATTTAGTTAAGGTTAATCCAGTGAAGATGATACCTCCCTGGTCTTAATTACTCTAGGTGATAGATTGTGGAATGGCAAAGTAGGAAGGAAGGGAAATTTGGTCCTACTGAATACCAGAATTTTCTAATTTAATTTAGCTTGCTCTGTTTTCACAGAAGCAAACAGTTGCTATTCAGACAGCAGGACCACACTCTCTGGATTAAATTGGGTAAAAGAAAGAAATAATTGTATGTCGATTTTTAAGAAAAAAGTGGAAAACAAATATGGATGTTTCAAAGGTGTTGATCATAATGTGCCTTTCATTACCGACAACTCAATTTAGAATTTTATCAGTAGATTCTTTGTGATTTCCGCTAGGAGTTGTTTGCTCTTTTAAACTTTATTCTGAGTACTGAGGCTAGTCAATGTGCTGAAATAGAGAAGTGTCTATACCTACAAGACTACATTAATGAAATGAATGTATGTGTATTATTAAAAAATAATGTAGTTTAAAATATAAGTGAGTGCACAACAAACCACCATGGATGAATTGCACAAACATAGAGTAAAAAAGCAGACGCAGGAATACATCCAAGAATCCACTTATATAAAGCTCAAAAACAGATAGCACAAATCTAGTATGACAAGTCAGGATGGTGATTTGTTTGCAACAGGAAAACAGGAGGTGCCTCTAGGGGTCCTGCTGATGTTCTGTTTCTTATGCTGGGTGCTAGCTATACAGGTGTGTCCACTTTATGAAAATTTATCAAATGAATTTGTGAACTTAAGATTGGTGCATTTTTCTGTACATATGTTTTATTTCAATAAAACATTGTCTTCACAAAATTATAAAAGGAAAAAAAACTAAGAAATAAGGGAATGGGATTGTGAGACAATACATTTTTAAAAGACAGAAGGGTGAGGGCTGCAGATATAATTCTGGAAGAGGAAAAATACATTAAAATATCTAGCAAAATATTAGTAGTAAGATTTTAATGTGTTCACTTTCCCATCTTAATATCTGCACACCCATATAAACACTTAAATCTTGCCTCAGGATCCAGACTTCACCCAAATCAGGATCTTCCTTGTTTCTTTTGCATGTGTTCAAAGTCTGATTATGGTGTTTAAGAATCTTATTCTTTGTTGCTGCTTAAGATGCAGCCCACCCCCTGCCCCCAAAAGCTCATTTTCTCCTTGCACATGCATTTAAAAAAATCATCGGATGATTTCCTTGTTTTCAGTTTTGTGATATATTTTCTGCTCAAGAAGGGGTATCTGTTTCTGATTTATTAGCATTTGATCCCCTAGTTTCCTGCCATTGATCAAGCCTAATACTTAGCTCAGCTGATGAGTTTTATATGAAAACTGATATTTCAGGAAGACGGAAGGTTGAACCCATTTTTAATATTTTCCCCGTCATCTCTTTCAGAGTGTGACATACACGAGAGACACCTAGCAAAGCCCCGAACCATATTTATTTTTCATTACATCTCCTTGGTATAAAACCTTCTGGAAATAAAACACGGATTTATCGAGAGAAGAGATGTTTGTCCTGTGTCATCCACATCCTGTCGATTGTATATACATTTACACCCTCTCGCCAAAACATGCCTTCACCCCACTGCTGACCGGCTGTCCGCCATTCAATCTCCAGTGAAGTCACGGTGAATAAGGTCAACTCCTTGGAAACATCTGTATTTGATCAGTTTGCACAAAACAGGGGTCTTGCTAATGCTGGACTTCCCTGAAGTCCAATACAACAATAGCTGGTTCACCACTGCTGCCCGAGCCTCCCTCAGGAAACCTTTTTTTTTTTCTCCCCTCTCTGAGACTATACAATGTTCAGACTAAATCCTACTCACATGAGCCCAGGGGCATCCAGCACAGTTCCTCGCCTTCCGAGGTGGCATCTCACTGAGGGAGACTTTCTCTTCTCCAGCTGGGAAGATATTCTAGTTATCACTAAAGCAAGGGCAATATATGGCCCTTTCTCCTGAATCCTGGAAAGAGTAACAGATGGAATCAGATCAGAAAGTCATCAACATGTTGACAGCCTGTCAACCATTCTAGACCCTGATCCGGTCGGCTCGGTGCTCCCAAGTGCACAGTAGTGGATTAGCATTAACCTGTGTGTGTGTGCATCTTTTCTTTTTTCTTCCTGATCGTATTTTCAGCATTGTATCATCAATATGTTATTCCAACAAAAAAATCTAAAGGACACTCTAGAGCGTCTTTTTCTTTAAAGCAAAAAAACAACTATGAGGATAGTCTGATAGTCCCAAGATAGTATTTTGATAGCCAGAATATACACTTTGTTCACCTTAATAGTATGACAATTTAAATGCAAAAGGAACATTGACAAAAAGTCTAGCATAAACTTTTAAACATCAACCTGAAGACTGCATGAAGGGAATTTCATTGAAATTAGGGGCAGTGTTAAATTCATTCTACTGAGAGGGAATTTTAGAGAATCCTCATTCAAGCATTTACAAACTTTGCTCACCACATTTAAAAAATACACGGGTCTGACTCGTTCATTTCCAAAGAGGGTAGAGCAAGAAGCTGACAAGGTTAGTTATGTTTTCACTGATGGGCTTCTGAGCATACCATACAGGGGGCAAGAGACCCACTAGATAGTCCCCTTCTTTGGGAGTTAAAACACATGAAAATGTAAATAACAGAAAAAGCAAGAAGTCTCAGGTGGCCAATAAGGGATATAGCCACTAACGTGCAGATTTTCCATGCTTTCCTGATGGGAAGCACGTCAAAACTGTTCTCGGTTTAAGGCTTGTTTGTGGTCCCATCTCAGATCTG